ATCAATGTTTGGTTTTGTTTGGGAACAACGTATTTAGAACAGGGTGAAAAGACTGGTGGTTTGGGCTTTTGCCAAAGATGTAAAATGGTTAGGCAAAACCATATATTAAGCCCTTAAATTAATTCTAGATTTTTATTAAGTTTTTAAACTTTAATTAATGATATAAATCCCTAAATTTCACGATTTGAGTAGTTTAACCCTTAATTCTTTAAAAACCATAAGAATAATGGTTAAATTGCAATAAGAATAAAAACTAAATTGCTCAGATCATAGGGGTTTACGTGTATCAATTAAAGTTTGGGAGCTCAATAGTAAATTTGGAACTAATTCAGGGGTTTAACATATAGTTTTGCCAAATAATTACGTGTTGAATAGTACGACCATGTTAGGTCGACCAACGTCTCTTCTAGCTTGGAATTTGGGCATTTAGAAAAATGAATAAATAAATAAAAACAACAAAAACAAAACTTTCACCTGCTGACTGGCAGTAAAAAGTCAAAACTGTGGTGAATTTTGTAGGGCTTGTGGTTTTGGGCAAGCTAGGCCCATCGAGCCTTCAATTTTTGCGACTTTTCTTCGTTGTCATGGATCCATGATTCTACTAGGCCTAAAGCTGAAGGTGGATGGATCTGGCCCAGTGGCCCGAAAATGGCTCCACGTGCCTTGCCTTTACGTTAGGAAGCTAATTGTCACGCGGTGAGACTAGCTTCGACAGCACTTGTCACGGAGGCAGAATCTAGCTAGTCCTCATGTGGCACTTAACTCGGAATTAACTATGTAAACCCGAACTAAATCAGCCTTCCTCAACACTTGGCATGGCCCCCTAATTGGGCTCGAGGTTAGCAACACATAAACACGAAGATAAGAAGTTGGAAGAAGAAGAGAATTTATTAAGATCGCAAGAAAATGTACAAGAACATGAATATACAACCCCTCTATGCACTCACTCACCTAGCAGCTCACTCTTGCTAGCCAACTCTCCAACCCACTCTTTTTTCTATCTCTTCTATTTGGCCTCCTATTTATAGAAGAGGTGTGGCCCAAGTGTCCTCTACAGGTGAGTCTCTAGAACACTCCACACAATTCTCTCATATTTACAATTTTTAGAAGTTTCTCCACTCTCCCTCCTAGTCTAGCCTACATTATTCTAGAACAACCCATTCTAGAACTATGTACAAGGCCCCAGGAGTTTCCCAGGTCGAACTTGGCCCAACAAGCCCATCCATACCCCTGTTTGGAACTATTCTCGCGCGCCCAGCAGCTTCTAGGACGTTCTGGGCCGCTCCAGTCCGTCACACAGGTGTCGACACCATAATCCTGTGTATTTTCCGCGTGTCAACACTATGTCCGCTGCTAGCATGGCATGCTTTGTGGACACCCTTGGCCACTCCCACGCGCGCCTTTGTGTCTCGATCGCAACCCTGTGCCACGATCTTGGCATTGACACTGCCAACTCATGCAAGGCCTGCCTCTTGAGCGTCCCATGTTGCGCTCGCGCGCTCCAACGCCTCAAGCCATACCGCACCCATGTGTGCCAGTGTTTTGACCTAGGTTGCTTGTGTGTGCACCCATGTCTCGGGCCAGGACACTCTTGTGCACACCCGCACATTGCCCCCGACTGCTCTTGCATGCTTTCACGTGTCTTGTCCGCAACTTCACACCACGGCCCCAGTATTCACGCCTCCACTGGCAAGGCTCGCTGCGTCTTGAGTGTTCCACCTTGCACCTCTGCCCTCGGGTGTCTAAGTGTCGTAATTGCAACCCCATGTCGCAATACAAACACCTGCGTCTTGCATGCCCGCGTCCACGCTTCCGCTTGCACTCGTGCTCATGCTCACACCTGCCCTTGTGTCCGCGCTCACACTCCACGACGCTGCATGGCATGTCCCCTAGACGCTACACACTCCTCATGTGTGCCTGTGGCTGTAGCTCCGTGCCATGATGCCCTTGACTTCGGCCCCCAAACTTGCATGCCATGACATAATGCTAGATTAGTGAAGAATATATCATTTTGATTAAAACAAACTTTATTGTTTTTTTTTTCGGTACATAAGAAGCTAGATAAAGCTAAATCCTAAGGAATAGAGTTCCTACGCTATCCCCATGGAGGAGGCTGTTGATATCTGGTGGTGGAGTCGAAAAAAAGGCGGTGTTGTGGTTGAGATCTTGTTCGATAGATGCCATGAAATCTGCTGCTGTGTTTCCTTCCCTCAACGTGTGTTGAACTATGCAAACCTCAAAGGAGTTCACCAAATGAAAAATGTCCAACAATAGCACCAAAGTTTGGCCATCTCTGGCCTTTCTTGCCTATATCATCTGTACAGCCAAGAGCGAGTTCATTTCAAGAACCAAGTGAGTAATACCCAGCTCAAGAGCTAGCTGAAGGCCAATCCAACGTCCCCAAAGCTCTGCCATGTAGCTAGTTTGTGGCCCAATGTTAATAGCAAAACCATGAATCCATCGACCACCATGATCCCGAATGAGTCCACCTGCACTAGCTCTTCCTGAGGAATGGTTCAATGCCCCATCTGTATTCAACTTGAGAAAAGGGAAATCAAGTGGGAACCACCTTATCCATCGTGGTAGGCGAGGGTGAGTTAGAATATTGGATGCCAAAGCCAAACGTGTATCTATTGCTAGAGAGCAAGCTTGCTGGAACAGAACATGTGGAGGCGTCCTTTTATTGTTGAAGATGAGTGCATTCCTACTTTTCTAGATCACCCAAATAGAAGAAGGGGCACCACTGGACGTTGAAGCTTGTGCATTCTTCCTTAACCATTCTTCAAAATTTTGCATGAAAAAATCAATGGGAAGCACAGTGAAGGTCTCCCAAATCAAACGAGAGTGATAATAATCACACAAAAGGTGAAAAGGAGTCTCTGGGCCCTATTCACATCTCGGGCACACGGGAGTTGCTGCAAAATGTCTTTGAAATCTTACACTGTTGGTGAGCACTCTATTTTTTTGGAGGAGCCTAACAAACAACTTGATTCTCTCTATACACTGTAACTTCCATATCCACCTCCAGTTCTTCTCACATTGAGTTGTGTTAACATGCTGTTGCTGCAACAAATAGAAGGCAGATTTGACAGTGAAGTTACCATCCGGAGAGCCATTCTAGAAAATTTTATCCGTTTGCTGTCCAAACACTGGAATTGGAGTTGCCAAAATCTAATCAACTACATTTCGAGGAAGAAGAGTTCCAAGCCAACTCTCGTTCCGATCTCCATACGGGGTTATGGCCTACGAGACAGGGGTGTCCATAATAAACTTTATTTATTAACAAATGTTTAATGGGATTAAATTTTACATAATTGAAGAGTTAGTTAGACTTGGTAGATTAATTGAAAAATTGATATATGTAATTTATACGAATAAAATTTTTAATTCAATCATTAGTTTTTAAAATATTAATTAAAAAAATAGTTTTTAAATAAGTTTTTCAAAAAGAATTTAAAGAACCACATATAAAACACTTTTTTCTTAAATTATTTATCATGTCTTAAACTTGAGTTCCACTCGTTAAAAAAAATAAAGAAGTCAAATCAAGTATAAAATTGAGTTCGAGTATATTGTGTGTTACAATTTTATTAAGATATCAATTAAATTAGCCAAATAATGTAAGCTTTAATTTAAATTTGGCATTTAGTATAATGGTTTGAAATTACAATAATAATTAACAGTTTTATTTAATATGAAAATTGATAATTATCATTATTAATAATTCAAATACATTTATTCATTAAATTAAGTAAAATTATTAATTATTAATTTTAAACTATTATACTGAACGGTCAATACTTTAACAAAGTGAAATATCAAGATTTGAACTCGGAGTCATTGACACATCAGAAATCGAACTTGAGTTGTTGATAGATACCACTGTGGCCCCATATACTTTTGCTAATTTTTTAAAGTGCAATTAACAGTTAATGTCTTAATGATAAGCAAAAGATTTGTAAACAAAGCTGGGACAAGGAATATGTATTCCACATAGTGGTTGATATTAGATATATCAGTATTTTCAAAACGGTTGTTCTCGATAACGTGAAGTAGCATCCTTCATGAGGGTCTTTTTTTTTTTTTTTTTCTTGATAAGGACAAAACGTCAGAAGATTCAACGCTTGAAAGCCACCCATTTGTCCATGGATTTGGTTCGCAGACTTTGGTCCCTCGACGTTATTAACGTACTTTTGAATGATAAATTCTCTACAACCAAAAAAGCATCTTAAAAATCAAAGCAAATAAAGTCACAATCTATAACTAACATGGTGACAATGATAATTATGAAACGTGTCAAATTTTATTTGCATTGCATGACTCCGGTTTTGGGGATTTGGTTGTCTTTCACAGTTTCACCACGCCTGAATCCGAGTGCTATGTTCAAGGAAAAAGCTCAAACCCCTTTTTCTTTTCCTTCCTTTACAACCCTCTTTTTCTTTTATGCAGATATATTGCAATTATTAAATTAGCATTCCAACTTCCTATAGTAGCAGGGTTAGTTATTTTTTTATTATTAAAGAACAATATTAGTAATTATTTTTTAAAAAATTTAAAATTTAAAAATAATTTATATTTTCATTTATATTATCTTCAAAGAAAGAGATGACAATAAAGAAAAAGAGTTAAGAGATAACAATATTATGATCAATGTAAAAAATTTTAAGTTTGTTTATCTTAGAATATAAAAAAGTCAACAATTAATGTATGATAACTTTTAATTGTATGTTGAAGTTTAAGAAAATGAAGGGAAGGAAAAAGAAGTTTTTTTGTTTTATTTTTTTCTAATTTATTTATTTATGTTCTAACTTCCTGATCTGCTTAAACCGAGTAAGGTTTGCCTGTTATACAATTTTAAATCTCTCATTCACTTAGCTATATTTTGGTTAATTGAAATGGGAAAAGTATTATTTACAGGGGTTCAAGTGGAGTGAGTCCTTTGACTAATGGTTAGACTCAAGTTCATTTAGGCTTGGCTCGAGCTCAATTATAACTGAATGCGTTCAACGTGTCCAACTTTTCAAGCTTAAACAAAAGCTTGAAAATGTTCAAACAGAACAGGCTGCGAGTCAGTCTCGATTAGCATTTTATTATTACCATAAAGCGTGCAAAACA